GAGGCTAGGGCAAGGTGGCATGGGGCATCTCAGGGGACTATCAGCAATGCTGAACTAGAGTGAGCTGCAGTACCATCCTGTGTTCTCTTGCAGTAGCTTTCATAACTGTTTTAGAGAGAAAGAAAGGAAGGAAGGAAGGAAGGAAGGAAAGAAAAAAAGAAAGAAAGAAAATTCTGCTCCTTACAGGAAGGAAGAGATGGAAAGTGAGATAAGATGGGTAGGAGGAATGTAGGGGGTCAAAATGCTCAGTGTTACTGAACATTGCTGAAGTGAGACTCAGCAGATTCATAATCTGAGTGAGACCCACCAGATTTCCCCATGAGAACTGAATCTGTCCCCTAGAAGTCACATGATTTTTAGGGGAGAGATTCAGTGTCTCTTCAGAAGAGTCTACAGCAGGTTGAGCAGTGTATCATAATGACCTAGATTGCTTCTATACCCAGACCAGGAAACAGTCCTCAGAGCAGAGCAAGGAAACACCACATGGTTCAAAATCAAGAAAGGAGTGTATCAGGTATGCATCCTGTCTCAATCTCAATCTCTTTTCAGTCTGTATGCAGAACCAATTATTTGAGAGGCTGGGCTTTATAAGGAGGAATGTGACATCAGGATTGGAGGAGGATTCATCAACAACCTACATTATGCAGATGACACAACTTTGATTGCTGAAACTGAGGCAGACCTGAAGTGTTTGCTGCAGAAAGTCAGTCTAAAATTCCTCTTTTGATTTCCTGACTGCTGGTGCCAAGAGTGTTGATTGTGGTGCCAATCAAACTGTAACTGTTAAAAACCTCAATCTCTTGTCCATCTATCATGGTACTCCTAGTTGGCCCAGTGGTGAGAATCTTTGTCTTCTTGATGTTGAACTTCAGTCCATATTGCAGACTATAGCCCTTGACTTTTCTACATCAAGCACTTCAGGTCCTCCTCAGTTGCAGCAAGCAAGGTTGTATCATCTGCATAACATAGGTAGTTGATGAATCTTCCTCCAATCCTGATGTCACATTTCTCCTCATAAAGCCAGTCTCCGGAATGATCTGTTCTGCATATAGATTGAAGAGTTATGGAGACAGGATGCATTCCTGACACACTCCTTTCTTGATTTTGAACCATGCAGTGTTTCTCCTGCTCTGTTCTGAGTACCGCTTCCTAGTTCAAGTATAGGTTTTACATAAGCAAAATCAAGTGTGTTCTGGGATGGTATCAAATTTTGGGAGTCCAAAAGCTAAGTTAGGGAGCTCAGGTGGCCTAGTGGCAAGAAGCTGCACTGCAGTTCTGAAGGCATGCAGTTCAAGGCCACCAGCAGCTCTGCCATGGAAGGATTGGCAGTTTCCTCCCATACAATTAACTGCCTCAGAAAACCCACCGGAGAGTCAGCTATGGTCAGTTCCAACTCTGTGGTACACAACAACAGCAAACTACATAACTGGGGAGAGACTGACAAATTTTGACCAAAAAAGCATCTAAAGATCAGCTACCTTCCAAAGACTGACTCATGCTAATCATGTTTACAAGAAGGTAATGGATCCAGGTTGCTGGTGGCTTTTATCTGCCAGCTGCTTCACAGGAGAAAGATGAGCAGTCTCCTCCTGTGCGATTAACTGGCCTGAAAACTTGCTGAGAGTCAGCTATGAGTCGATTCTGACTTTATGTTACACAGCAACAACAACAGTAGATCCAGGAAGCCAAATTAATAATGAGAAGCTTGGTGGGTAGGGAATTGCACTGCCAACTCAAAGAAGAGTGGTTAGAAACTGCCAGCTGCTCTGTGGGAGAAAAATATGCAATCTCCTCTCTTGCAATTTACAGCCTCTGAAAACCTACTGCAGGGTCAGCTGTGTGTCAGTTAGTACTCCACAGCAATGAGTCTGAGGACAAGTAGACACGCCAACAAGACTTGGATGCTTTGCTCATCTTGTTAGTGTGTGCTTTCCCGTTGGTAGAATTTACCTTGGAAATCAATATTTAAGATTACTTGTTAAGGAACTAGCGGCATAGTACGTTACATGTTGCACTGCTAATAGGTTTGGTGGTTCAAATCTACCAGCTGCTTTGTGGGAGAAAGGTTTTTACCTATAAAGATTGATAATTTTGGAAACTAAATGGAAAAACTCAACCACCACAGAGAATAGACTTGACCGAAGTGGACTGTTTATTTGTTGTTGTTAAGCATATGAAGGATTTGTGGGTCATTATATCTGATGGTCCGTAATTGGCTTGGTGTGGATTCTGTTTTATGGTTTATTGGCTTGGCAGTGGTCAAGTGCCATCCCTGTTCACAAGTGAGCTGAATTTGATGAAGTTCAGATAAAGGGGAGCTTGGAAGAAGTATGAAGTAGACAAAGGTAGTAAATAACACACTGGAGGAATTTTATTAAGAAGCAAATCTACCTTTTTCAGCAAAGTTACATGAACCAATCAACAAATAAATGGTTAGAAAAACTATGGTATAGTCACATAATAGAATACAACACAGCACTGAAAAACAAGGAACTCATAAAATATTATACAACATGGGTGGCCCTGGAGGACATTATACAGAATGAAATATCCCAGACACAAAAGGACAAATACTGCATAATACTGCTGTTATAAAACAAGACTTACATGGGATTTGGGTGTAAATGAAGAAAAAGAGGATATAAATAATGAATACTGCATTGGAACAGATGAAGGAAAAAACTGTTTAAAGGGAATATATGATTAGGAATTATATGTACAACAGCAGCCCAGAGTAAGAGGTACATTGTAAAGAGGACTGGGGGCAGGGGAGGGAGGTAATTGTGCAATAATGAATGAATATGAAAAAAAAATACCCAAAAAACCAAATGAAGGGAGGGAGGGGTGAGATGTGCAATAGTGAATTAATAAAAATTAACTTTTCTGTAAAGTTTTATTAAAATTACAATTAAAATAAAATTTTAAAAAAAATAGTTTCATGAGGATGCCGCTTTCTTTATGTTAAGTTCATTCCAATCATATTCTTGTATCTTCTCCCTGGCCTTTTATTTATTTTTCATATGATTCATTTAAAAAATCCATTTTTTATTTGATTGAAAATTTACAAATCATTTTGGGTTTTTAACTTGATCATTCATAGACATTTTGCTTTATAACCACAATGTCTGATCAATCTCTTATATATTGCTTTTTATTTTTTCACATTCGACCTTTCTGTTTATTAATATTGAGTCCTCATTCCTGATAACTATCCCCTTACCCTTTAACTTGACGATATCGGTGCTGTGTACCATCGATTCAAAATTGACCCATAGTTGACCCTCCATTGGATTTTCAGAGGCAATCACATGAGAGATTGTCCATCTTTCTCCGATGGAGCAGCTGGTGGATTCAAACCATGTGCTGCTGGGTTGGCAACACAATCCTTACCACTAAGCCACCAGAGCTCCCTTGGGATGCTCCCTTGGCATCAGCTGGGATGTGCAGCATTGGTATTATTATGGTGAACATAGCTGCCTTTCAGACAGTTGGTCTAGTTCTGTTCCTGGCCAACACAGTGAGCTGACCTTACGTGATGAGTAGTATTTTATTTTATCAGTACTGTCTGCTTACCCATTTTCCTCTTGCTGGGCATTTACATTGTTAGCATTTTGGGTTAGTGTGACTAAGTCCACTGAATGTCTGTTTCCATCACCTGGCTGTGGTTTTGTCATGCTGTGGTGTCTTCCATGTTGCCGTGATGCTAGGCACTAAACCAGCATGATCACCCATAGTGGACAGATTTCATTGGAGCTTCCAGACAGTGACAGAGTAGGAAGCAGGACTGGTCATCCCCTTCTGCAATAATATGTCTTTGAAAATGCTACAGATAGTGGCAGAGTATTGTCTGAGATAATTTCAGAAGATGAGGTTCTCGGGTTGGAAGACCATAGGAAAGAGGTGCCTCCTCAAAGTACAGTCGCCTTTATTGATGTGGATGGGGTAAAGCTATGAGCCAGTGAAGGGACCGTCATTTGCTGATGTGGCATGACTCAAAATAAGGGCAAACAACTGCAGAGATCCATCAATATTGGAATACATAATGTGTGGGGAAAAGCTCAGAAAATTGGAAGTTGTGAAAAAAGCGAAACAAAACCTATACAAATTAATAGCCTAAGCATTTATGTACAAACGTTTGCTTGGACATTGCTTTTTGATACCGTATTTTTGGACACACTGAGTGTACTTGGTAGCCTAGTCTGTAAGGAGTTGCCCTGCCAACCCAAGGGTGGAGAATCTCTGGCAGTTTAAGTCTGTCATCAGCTCCATGGGCAAAAGATGAGCAATGTCCTCCCATCCAATGGCGAGTGGGAGAGTTGTTTTCACTCCTGGAAGGTAGCTTTATTTTTAAGAGTTCAGGACACTGCACATGGAGTGTATACAGAAAATTGAGTGTTTGTGTGGTTCTGTAGATACAAGCATGGACTTTGGTGTCAGAGCCAAAGTCTAGTTCTGTTTCTTCTTGCGGTGTGACCTTAGACATGCTTCTTAATCTCTCTGAATCAAGCCTCTATCTGAAACAACAAGGTAGGGTTGGCTGGTGTTAAGATGAAGTGAGATGGTGATACAAATGCTTAGCATGATGACTAGTTTAATATAAACTCAGTGATGTTACTTATATAATTATTAGTTGGAGAAATAAACGAAGCTCACAGAATGTTAAAAATGAAGAAATAAATTAGTGTACGTCATAGCAGTTAAGCAAATTGGGCAAATTATATATGCATAAATCATGTGATCTAGCTGGCTGTATTCACTTCAAAGACTTGGAAAAACAAGAGTTATTTAAAAATGCTTTTTAAAAACACTTATCCATACATAAACTATCATTAGTGTTACAACATAACTACTTTCAACAATATTAATATTTTATTTTGCAATGTAAATGACATGAAGAAGATTAAAAATTATTTTAAAATTGGTTACATTTATTTCTTAAAGTTTGTTTTTCTCTGATCCTTTTTTTTTTTATTGTCTTTTTCTAAAATTCTCTCTTCTAGGCTACATGACATCCTGAAGGATACGAACAATGTTATGTTGGGGATATTGGTCTCTGGGCCAGCCTGGTATCAGTACCAACCTGCAGGGGATAGTGGCAGAGCCACAGGTGTGTGGCTTCATATCTGATAGAAGTGTCAAGGAAGTTGCCTGTGGCGGAAACCACTCTGTTTTCCTGCTGGAGGATGGGGAAGTGTATACCTGTGGTTTGAACACCAAGGGACAACTGGGCCATGAGAGGGAAGGAAACAAACCTGGTAAGTGCTCCTCGCTTGCCTAGCTGCTGTCAAAGAGCATTAAAAGGTGGGTAAAGAAAGGGGCCAGTTGAAGTTGTTCTTACTAAGTGGCTGTCTTTGACTGAAGCTCTTTTGAACACTGCAGCAATTCTCTCTTGTTTAGAACTGTGTTTGATCCAGTCCTTTTGATGGAGAAACAAATTTTGCTTTTTCATTTTATTAAATAATGTATGTAATATCATTTATGAGGTAAAGGAAGATGCCTCCTTAGCATTCAAGAAATATATTTTCCACAGTAGTCAGATGCAAAGACATAAGGAAGTTTTGTGACCAGATATCTTTAAATAATTAATGTCAGAAGTCGTTATTTTCCCTAATTATTTATTTATTTCTTTCTGCATATGCCTAATGTACTTTTCTTAGCATTAGGTAGGTGTTAGGCACAGTGCTTGTTGGTGTGAGTAAGAAAGTGAATAACTGAATGACATAAAATCAGAAAGGTATAATTTGCCCAGAGATAGAGCTCAGAAAACAGGATTTGGATTAAAGGGTTAGTGGGAATGAGAATTACAGAGCAGAAGTGGGAATAATGTTACTACTTTGTGAGCAAAAGTCAAAATCATTGCCAACTTATAGTTGACTCTCTTGTGGATTTTTAGAGGCTATAAAGTGCATAGGAGGAGATTGCCAGTTTCCCCTTTCAGTGCAGCTAGTGAATTTGAACCCCAAGCAATACATGGCCTTTGCGTTACCAGTGCACCTTTCTATGGACTATGCACAAGACCTCCCTGTGAGCATTGTAATTAATGTAATAAAGCAAAATGTGGAAAACCACTTTGCCTTGTAAATTTTAATTGCAATCACAATAAAAAGAGGGGAGGGGAGAACAGCAAAAGGAAAGCTAAGGTCCAATGTTAATGTTTCTCCAGTGATTCCTTGGTGTGGCGAGTGCTATGATGGAAGTGTGTGTGCAGTGAACTGAACTGAATATGTGGGCAGCATAGGGTAGGAGGGGTTTGTTCCGCCTCTGTGAGTTGAACAGAAGAATGAGTAGGACTTCATGAGGTGTGCGCATCTATGTTCATGCACATGTGTGTGGAAATAGAAAAGCTATTGTATATCTGAGTGTACTTCCTGATAAACACTTGGGTGTCAAAGAACCACAGTTGCTGTGAGTGTGGGAGAGGGAGTGGGGAGAGACTGAAGAAGAAAGGTAGTGAGAGAGGTTAAACAGAAAACCCCTTTCTGTGCAAAACAGTCAACTAATTAAACCATCTTCTGTGTCGATTCCAACTCGTGTGCTCCCATGTTGCAGGGTACAGTTACATTCATACGGTTTTCAGTGGCCAGTTTTTCAGAATCATGTCCTTCTTCTGAAGCACCTTTGGGTGGCTTCAAACTGCCAGCCTTTCTGTTAGTAGTCAAGTGTGTAATCATTTGTACCATCCAGGAACTCCTGGAAACTAGACATATTTTAGTACCTTTAATTTCTTGTTATTACTTAAATATGCTGCACATAGTTAAGGATCTGGTGGCCTACTGGTCAGGAGCCTCACTGCCAACCCAAAGGCATGTGATTTGAATCCACCAGCTGCTTTGCAGGAGAAAGATGGGCAGTCTCCTCTATGTGATTTATTGCCTCTGAAATCCCACTGAAGGGTCAGCTGTGGGTTAATTCTGATTTGAGAGTCATAACAATGATAACAAAGTGGCAAAATGGTTTAAGAGCTTGGCTGCTAATTGAAAGGTTGGTGGTTTGAACCCACCAACTGCTCCTTTGGAGAAAGATGGGGGCAACATATGTCCAAACAGATTTCTAGCTTTAGAAGCTGTATGAAGCAGTTTTACTTTGCCCTGTAAGGTTTGGTATGAGTTAGAATTGACTTGTTGGCAGTGGCAGTAGGTTCAGCACATTTAGTGTATTGGCTTAACTCTTGTTTTTCCTCTCACATTTACTGTCTAAAGAATCTAAGCTTGACATGTTAACTTAACAGCACACAACAATAATATATGTAGCATGGACGTTCTCAGCCTTAGACTGCAGCTACATTTGGAGTAGTATTGATGATCCTTAAATGAGTTCTTCTTGATGACTAGGGTAGTGTCTTAAATTGTGATTGTCACTAACTTTTTTTTAAAGTTATGTACAATTTATTTTAGTCTATAAAATTCAGTCTCTACATTCTGACCATTTAAATTACTTTCAAATATGTATAGACAGCAGCATTTTCTTAATAACCTTTTGACATTCATAATTTAAAACTAACTTAACAAGATTCTCTCAATATTTTGAATAATTTGAACATTTTTCAGCACATCCACAAATGCAGATAAACTACTGAATTGCTATGATAAAAACTATGAAAATATTTGTCAAAGATAGTTTCTAAAACCTAACAGTTAACTTTGTACGCTAGTCTTTCCGATTGCTCATTTCTGGAGTCACATAAGAAATTTCAAAATTTATCACTCCGTTTCAACTTGTCCTTATGGGAACTCAGTTTTGCTTTTTAGTGTTGCTGATTGCAACTTATATATATGCCTGAGATACAGCACAACCTGCATTTTCAATTTAATACACTAAATATGATTAAAAGATTGTAGTATTTTTTCATCCTAAAGGCTGAGATGAATTGCAGAAAGGCATTTAAAAAAATTTTTTTTATTTTCATATAGTAGTACCTTTATAGTATGTTTCATTCATATTTTTCATTCATGTTTTTCCCCTACTAGTTTATTTTCAAAATTCGAATACAAATTTGAGCAAATTCTTTAACTAACATTTTTATGATGACTTAAAAAGAAGTGGTTCCCTGTCAGTTTATGTTGATTCCAATCCTTAAAGGTGTTCATACTTACTTTATAGTATTCACTGTATTATACCCTTCTGTAAGGTAGACAGGGTGGATGGGTAACAAAGTGTAGTTGTTCTTGTTGTTGTTATGTGCCGTCGAGTCGCCTGCGACTCATAGCGACCCTATGTACAACAGCCCTAAACTCCGCTCTGTCCTGTGCCAATCGCACTGTCTCTGACACTCCCATCCCAATTATCCTAGTCACTGAATCAATCCACCTCATAGAGGGCCTTCCTCTCCTGCGCCGTCCCTCCGCCCTCCCAAGCATGATGTCCCTCTCCAAGGACCGGTCTCTCCTCACTACATGTCCAAAGTAAGTTAGACGGAGCCTCAGAATCCTTGCCTCCAAGGAGCCACCCGGTTTAACCCTCTCCAGGACAAATCTATTTGTTTTCCTAGCAGTCCATGGTATTCTCAGTACTCTTCTCCAGCACCACAGCTCAAAGGCATCAGTTCTCCTTCTGTCCTCCTTGGTCATTGTCCAACTCTCTGATGCATAACAGGTGATTGCGAAGACCATGGCCTGTATCAGACGCACCTTAGTCTCCAGAGAGACACCACTGCTCTTCAGCACTTTGGAGAGGTCCCTAACAGCAGACTTTCCCATGGCAATGCGCCTTTTAATTTTCCTGGCTGCTGGTTCCAAGACTGTTGACTATGGAGCCAAGCAAACTAAAGCTGTGTACAATCTCAATCTCTTCACCATCCATCCTGATGCTGCCGATTGGTCCAGTGGTGAGAATCTTTGTCTTCTTGACATTGAGCCTCAATCCATATTGTAGGCTGCAGTCCTTGACACTCTGCAGCAGGTGCTTCAGGTCCTCCTCAGTTTCAGCAAGCAGGGTTGTGTCATCCGCATAACGCAGATTGTTGATAAATCATCCACCAATCCTAACCCCACATTTCTCCTCATAGAGCCCAGCCTCCCGGATAATCTGTTCTGCATATAGGTTGAAAAGGTACGGAGATAGGATGCATCCCTGGCGTACGTCCTTCCCAATTTTGAACCATGCAGTGTTCCCTTGCTCTGTTCTGACGACTGCCTCCTGGTCCAAGTATAAGTTTCGCATTAGAACAATCAAGTGTTCTGGGATTCCCATTCTTCTCAGAGTCAGCCACAGTTTGTTATGATCTACACAGTCAAATGCAGAAAGTGTAGTTATGTCCTAAAAATAGATCTTAGTTAAAAAAAAATTGTGAGTGTGACTGTGTATGTGTCACACTAGCTTGGGCAAATACCATTTTCATTCTTACCTGCCCCCCTTTCATTCAGTCTAGACCAAATCCAGACACTGAAGCTTTATTAAAAAGCAGCCTTGCAGTTTTCTCTAGAAGCTTATTAGGATTATTGGGTATGTGTCCATTTATGCAAGTGGTTTGGCTTCAGGATGAAGTCAATATCTGCTGTGACACTCTCCCTCTTTTCCAATTTGAAATTGGCTACTCATAAAACCTTCTCATGTTAAAAGATCAAGCACATCAAGAAGTACTAACCCATATTAAATCACAGTTACTTTTTTACCAACTGAAACCATGTAGTGTATGTGTGTGTGTGTGTATTTAAACAAAAAGTCCTACAGAACTGAAATTCCGAAATACAATTATGACTTCAATACTATGAAGAAACAGATAATTTCTTATAATGTTCTCTCATCCCTCTTTATATCCCTCCTCTAGTAAGTGGCTTTTTTCTGTGGTTTCGCTAGCTAAAAAATGTCAGTGTACATTTAGATTCATTAATTTTTATGTTGACTGTTGACAAGCATCAGAGCTGCTAGTCAGCAAAATGGTGAAGTTTGTGAATTGTGCTTTGTAAATTTCCACTTCTTCATTCTTTGCTTCCATGCTTCTTAATTGGAGCCCTCTCTGGCATACTGGAGAGAGATCTGGTGGCTTCTTCTCATTGTTGTTGTTAGATGCTGTTGAGTGCAGCTCATAACGTCCTGTTCTACCCTGTGCCATGCCCACCATTTCTGACTTGAGCTCACTGCTGCAGTCACTATGTCAGTATATCTTATTGGGGGTATTTCTCTCTTTTTCTGGTCCTTTACCTTTCCAAGCATGATATATCCCTTTCCAAGGAATAGCCTCTCCTAGCAGCATGTCTAAAGTATGAGAGATGGAACATGCCCATCTTTGCTTCCTAAGCTATACAGTTCAACTTCA